AAAAAAAAAAAAAAAAAACACGCTCTAAATCGATACGTTGCTTCTTAACACGCGAGAGACTTGACTTGATAAAAAAAGAAAATGAGATATAAATTGCACACACGTGTATATTCGAAAAACGACAAATTGGGATTTGTCTAGAATCTACTGCCAACTTGTTGCTACACCTCGTAAAGATTACGATCGAATAAAGACCCGTTCGTTCCCTAAACTGTCCCTCGCGATGGCTCTTCGGAGCGAAACGAGAGTGAGATACTGCAGCGAGGAGGTCTATATAAGAGAGTTAAGAAAGATTCTTAGATCTCTCACAGAAAACGTTGTTGATGTAATCCGCGAGAGAAGTTAAGGAGGGGAGAAACTGCGCGATTTTTCTCTCTCTCTCTCTCTCTTTATCCGCGGCAAAAATTACGATCCGCCGTAAAGTCTGTGAGAATCGCGATTTTCAAAGCATTTTAGGTCTGAAGCAGAGTTTTCTCTGTGCGTTATAGTAATACTCGAATTACATCTTGCTGTTAAACGTACGTTAAATGTACGTACGTTTTTTTTTTGTTTTTTTTTTTAATTTTAGTAATAGCTAACACATCGTTCACGTTCTCTTCAAATGAAGCGAAGGAAAAAATGAAAAATGAGTGGCGAGAAATAAAAATCGCGTTAGGAATTAATTAATTAATCACGGTGCGCGCGTTATATAAAAAAAAAAAAAACGGTCGAGCCGCATCCATTGTAAATGCGATCGAGATATGAAATAGACAAATGACGGTACGGACAAGTGACTGATACATTTTTCAAGCAATTATTTGTTTTTTACAAATTTTTGGACTATTCCACGCCGCAGGCTATTGCGCGCGCGCGCCTATCTCGCACGTATATTAGCAGTCGATAGTTTTCATATCTCGTTGTTACATTATTACCCTCACAAATATAATTCAACAAATTGTTGCGTTACTTCTAACGACCGGCCTCGAGCGAGATCTCTTTGACAAAAAACATTACGTCAAGTTGAAAAACTGCGTTTTTTCTCGAGTGCCGAGAGGAATACGCAACGCAAAGATTTTCAAGCGGGATTTAATGTTTCTTCCTGCGCGCAAGGTAGGTTAGGTTACAGAAGTTTCCGCGCGGAGCAATTTCTAAACGCAAAATTAATTCCAGCAGCGCCGCGGGACATGCGTTTCGTTTCAGCGGAAGCGCAGCAACGGCGCTCGCTTCGATTCGCGCGGTTTAAGCATGGATAGGCAAGAATAGCTGCGAGAAGCGTATTATTTGCGCGGATAAGCGCAAACGCGCGAGTGAATGCCCGTAATCTCCGTGGAAAAGTTTATTTTACCGACGGCGTGTTTTTTTTTTTTTTTTTTTTCTTGCGTTCTCTATTTCAATATCTCGCAAAAGTCGGCGAGCATAATTTTAGCGACGAGCTCTGTAAAATTTGATGTATCCTCTAATGATGCGAGAACTTCGTCATGACGCGTCGGATACTTTTGTTTTTCTTATCGCACAAATGGAGAACGGACTATTTGCACATGTAGCTTCGAAATGTACCAATTCGAACAGGCATTTCAATCAATTAAGGATTTGAATGTGTTATTCATGCTCTTATTCACCCGATGGTGATGCGATGTTTCTGATCGTGTTATTGGCGGTAGCCCCGCATCCATATTACGTCCAAATATAACAAACGGTCTGTTTGATGATCGAAATTTAAGCAGCTTTGATCATCGGGGTGAGAGTAGCTGCACGGAAATGGCGATTCTCACGCTTCTTCGCGTGTTGCGCAGTTTTGCAACAAAGTAACACACAGCGCGTGTATAAAATAAACGCACAATTCACGGTCTGAGTTTGTTGTTCGTCGAGACGAATAATTATATCGATCGCTCCTCCTGTAATGTATAAAATACTGATGTGTAAGATGACGTTGAAAGAATAAATATGAAAAAACGAGTGCGCAAAACTTTGCCCGAGACAATTTTCTTTTTTTTTATGCAATATTTTCAATACACATACACATCAAACGTAAGATATCTCTTCTATTTTCCTTGTTTTTTTTCCCCACGTATTTCCTTCTTTATTCGACGAAAAAAATGACGCACTGTAATATACGACCGACGTTTTTTTCGTAAAAAGGATTTACAGGTGACAGCGACGAGCGCAAAAATATCGCGTAAATTCTTCCTAGTACGAATGCGTCTAGCACTCGCGCGTCAGTAATGTACTCTGCGGTTGTTGTTGTTGGTGGTTTCACGCGTTTTTCCGTCGGCGTACTTAATTTCCCAGAGGCGAACCACCCATTTGGTTTTCGGTTAGCTGGCGATGTTCCAACGACGAAGAGGGAAGTGGCCGACTCTATCAGAGAAAAAGAGAAAGGGAGCACCGATACCCTTGGAACAAATCGCCCGATGTCGCGAAAAACCAAAAG